CTTTAGCTATTCTACTAATGCATGGATTTTATGTGAACCTTCAGGCTAGTCCCGTAGTCTGTGCTAGAACAAACGGAGTGATGATTCTGCCTGATTTAGCCTTTCGCGAATATGCTATTTTTATGAACGAAAATATCTTTTCGAACAAATGACTTTCTTTTTGAATTGTTTCGAGAGTATAGCTTTTTACCAATAAATTTCGTGAATGAATGCGAATACTCAAGTAATTCAGTACTCATTACTCCTCAGCTGCGCATCATTTTGAAGACAATAGAGTAAAAGAAGATGACTGGTCTTTTTTTATCAGGCCCTTCGAAGTGAGAAGAAAGGAAAGGAAGGACCTGAAGGAAAGCGCGTTGCATATTTGCAGAAAAGTGGGAGATGTGCGATTCTCTACCGAGGGAAATAAAAGCGTAATTTAGTTTCTGTCTTGAGAAAAGTTCGGACATCGGAGGCATAAAAGTACAAACAATTACGAAGTGCCATTCCCAAATGTCTTCTGTTTCTACAAAAAGATGCGCAGTAAATTTGCTTGATTTCAAGTGAAATATGCAGAATAGTGAAGGAAGACAAATATCCAATGATAAAGCAAACTCGCAATAGTGATATCTCCAAGAGCAAGTACCGAAAGTGCATGTTTCAATGTCCTCAAAACAAGTCTCGTGCTCCGGTTCCAGGTATTAACATATTTGCATCTATCGATCCGGAAATAGACAATCCATGACTGTTGAAATACTATAAATTTACCTTTCACGGAAAGGAGGTTAGTGATGAAATGGTTGGTACTTTGCCTTGTAAAATCGAAGAAAATAAAGTGCACTGTTTTCTTGCGAAAAAAACGACGAGTTCTTGATAAACAGATCTCAGTAGTTTTGGTAAATGAAGTTTCAGGCCTATGACTTGATGATTTGGTGGGTACCTCTGAACCTCCTGCTGGTAACTAGTGCTATTGTAGAATACGAAACCTACTCATGTATTTTGACCACGTAAAAATGAGCTTTACCATGGTTGCTGGCTACTAGATTTTTCATAAACCTTTCACGAAATTTCAGAAAAAAATGTGTCAAAAAAATTTTAGTGACGACCCCTACCGGTCGAAATGACATCCGGATACTTCAAAAATCCTACTTCTCACCTCATTTTCCGACTTGGTCATGCAGTCATTGTCATCCTTAGGTTCATTGCCTGTCTCCAGTTGATTGTCAGTGTCTGCCTTCTTGGAGCTGTCATTGTCTGGCTTTTTGGAACCGTCGCTATCTGCCTCCTTAGGTTTGTCATTATCTGCCACCTCTTGACTGTCAGTGTCTGCCTTCTTGGGACTGTCACTTCCTGACTCCTTGGGGTTGGCATTGTCCGATTTCTCAAAGTTGTCATTGTCATTCTTGGGGTTACCACCTTCTAACTCCTTGGGATTGTCGTTGTCTGGGTTCTTGGGACTGCCAGTGTCTGGTTCCCTGGGATTGTCATTGTCATTCTTGGGAAGGTCAGTACCTGGCTCCGACTCCATTGAACAGTTTCTCTTGACGAGCGTTTCAAAAGTAGTCCTTTCCTGAAAGTAGTAGTAGATCAAAAATAGAAACTAAGCACATACAGAAAAATCTGCAACCTTGTTCAAAAACAGTATTATTGACTTATCGTACAGGCAAAAATTGATTTTGAATGGACTAATGGTAAGTTTAACAGCAGCTCACTAATTTTTGTATGCAAATCATCAAAAAATGAAAAAAGGAACCAAAATTAAAAACTGTAGCACATGATTGACGATTGATTCAGAGTATATGACTATATACTACTGGTTTAATCCTACCTGTGGGTGGCTTTATTTGCACAAACGTGCGTGGTATTCAACTACCCACGACTATTGAAAAGTGGAAAACGTGCTCGATAGATTAACAAGCAATTTTTTTGGAAATTCTCAAATGAAACAAAAGTTGATTCTGAAATACAAATGCAACAGATGATATAAAACGAGTTAGTGAAAGTCAAAGGCGATTTTGCTGCATTTGCAAGTCAATTGACTCGAAAATTATTGCAAATATTGACACACTTTAGATTCCATTATGTAGTGCTTTCTTCTCTTTTATTCTTTGCGCTCTTCCAAGGACCATCTAGGTTTACCTATGGATCTCCAACGAACTTTCTCGATATCATATTCGATGATGAGGTGTCGATCAAATTTTGAAAAGTTGTGGTTTGTGGTCATGGTGGGCCAAAAATACTGTTCCCTCCCAGAAAAAGATGTATTTGCACGTTTGATCCCGGAACCTGATTTATTGCTAACACCCTGACTAACTGTTGATGGCAAATCTCTGTAAGTAGGCAGATTCGGAACTTATCGAAATGATCGCAGTCGCACTCGTTAATTTAACTTCAATCACTTTTTTTATGTTCTTAATCCAGGCTGTAAACATGAATAAATGAATGGACAAACAAAAGCTGAAGGTACGTGAAGCTTAGACATTTCAGTAAAATTGCTTAGCCAAATGTTAGGTTGGTGCAGAAGTAATGAGCGTTTTTTCGAACCCTGTTTCAGGATGACTTTTTTTCATCAAAATGCCTTCCTCGGCACATATTCAGATACTGAAAAGCGCTTTTCCTTCTCTATCTAGTGGTGGTTTAAACAAGCTTTTAGCCTCA